AAAAAAAAAAAGAAAATCCACATTTCGGTTCTTTTTTTTGTGTTAATATATATGAATACTAAAAAGCCTGTCGCATGTGACGGCGAGGAGGAAGCTGCGGCCGTCGCATTTAACAGTTTAAAATGGGAGAAAAATCGTTTTAAAAAGGAATTAAATTGAATTAAAAGAAGAAAAGATAGAATGTGCAACTGATTTAACCCCTTCACGTCTGTAGAGAAAGGATGCCCGGTGCGGAGGGAATGTTAATCTACGTTAGAACAGGGGGCCGCCGGCTGTTGTGGAACTACAAATACCATGAGGCATTGCAAGAGTCCCACAGCCAAAGGCATGGCTTCCAGAGACAGATGCATCATGGGATTTGTAGTTTAACCGCAGCTGGAGGGCCAGGTTTTGCTCACCCCTGCTTTAAGCCCGTGACACACTGCATGCAAAAGCAGCACGCGGCAAAGGGAAGCAGCAGCGCGCAGATCTTCGCCTGCCGTGTGTCTTGCAATTTTCAATCCGGCGCGCCGGCTTGCAAGAGCTAGCGTAGCGGAGATCAAAAATGTCATCTTTAGCCAATCGGCGTGCGCGTATAGGATGCAAAGTCCATTGCGTTGTTACGCGTGAGCCGATTGGCTGAAGATGAAGTCTTTCATCTGGCTGCGATCAGCTCAGCCCCTCGCAGGTTCGCGTGCAGCGCGTCACAGGCTTTAGAGCTAGGAGCCCGCAGCGCTTTGCCTTCCCAACCGACACCGACAGCTCCCGGTCTGCACTAAACTTTGGGAACCAATCAGCAAGGTTCCCGATCATGTGATTATCACGTCAGCTATGGACAAGGAGATCACACAGCTTTATTTAAAAACAATGCAACATCAGTTAACAGTTTCAATGAATCATTTCTGCGACCGGCTGTCACAGTGATCACGTGATCGCATTGATGACCTCTCATCACAAAAGGGTTAAAAAGCTTGTAAAACACACATAGAACATTAGGATTAACGATAAAGCTGAACTCTTGATATTTTTCCTAAATATAAAAAGTTCAGCTTTATCTTGTATGCTAATTATAAAAAAAAAAAAGGAAGGTTTAGACCTCTGTCATGTATTTATTGCTACAAGTCTCCCCGTCAAGGAAACAGACAGGAAGTGAAGGAAAATCTCCCCAAAGGCGACACAGACCAGTTGGAGCTCCTATAGCAGGTACAGAAACAGCAAATTCAGCATATAAAGCCAAAAATACAAAAGTAACAACAACATGGGACCGCAGGCCACAGTTGTAAACTCAAACTCGGCATCCAATGACTCACTTTCCTCACATGTAACATTTACATTCCATTCACTGAACTTCTAAGTCAGCAAATTCAATTTTTACATCATTCCGGTCAAATCCAAAAGCTGAACTCCGAACACAAACGTTTTATAATAAAATTCTCGGATGGCCATAAAATAATACAAAGACACTTAATGGGCAGCAATGTCTATGCAAACCCGGGTGTCACCTTGTAAAAATAGTGATGACATCATCACCGTACAGAGAGCAGAGTGGTGGGAGGGGCCCAGCAGGCTCCGCCTACTACAGGAAGGGGTGAAGACAAGGCCAGTCACACTGCACAAGGCGAGAGAGCAGAACTGTGGGAGGCAGGCTCCACCCACTACAGGCTAGCTGCAGAATGCTACAGGAGGGGGCGGAGACAAGACCAGTCACCCTGCACAAGGAGAGAGAGCAGCTGTGAGCGGTCTTTATTACAGGAGGGGGCGGAGACAAGACCAGTCACACTGCACAAGGAGAGAGAGCAGCAGTGACCGGTCCTTATTACAGGAGGGGGCGGAGACAAGACCAGTCACACTGCACAAGGAGAGAGAGCAGCAGTGACCGGTCCTTATTACAGGAGGGGGCGGAGACAAGACCAGTCACACTGCACAAGGAGAGAGAGCAGCAGTGACCGGTCCTTATTACAGGAGGGGGCGGAGACAAGACCAGTCACACTGCACAAGGAGGGAGAGCAGCAGTGACCAGTCTTTATTACAGGAAGCTCCACGTTTTGCACAAATCTGGAAGAAATACACAAGGCTTCAAGAAGAATACACATGACTCTTGTATGAGGACAATATAGTTTTAAAAAGACTGCTGCTTTCATTCCTTGTGCAGGGTGACAGGTCTCATCTCCGCCCCCTCCTGTAGTAGGTGGGGACTGCTGGGTCATCCAATAAACTTCCTGTAATAAAGACTGGTCACTGCTGCACTCTCTCCTTGTGCAGGGTGACTGGTCTCGTCTCCGCCCCCTCCTGTAATAAAGACCGCTCACTGCTGCTCTCTCTCTCCTTGTGTAGGGTGACTGGTCTGGTCTCTGCCCCCTCCTGTAATTTTCTGTAGGCAGCTTGTAATGGGTGGGGCCTGCTGGGTCCCTCCCACTCCTAGATTCTCTGCACAGGCTACGAACAGCACAGTGGTGTCGTCACGGTTACTTTTACAAGGCAATATCTGGGTTTTTGCATGCATTTGGTGCACATTAGGTGCCTTTATACTTTTGTGCTACATAAAACACAGTGACTGCATCACATCTACTTTTACATGGCAATATCTGGGTGTGTAAAGGCATTTGGGGCACACAATCTGGCTATTAAGCAATACGTGTGAAGGAAAATGTGTGTGGCCAGAGTTCAGCTTGAAATAAAACAAAAGGCAATTACCTTGTGGAAAATACGACCAAAGCCACCGTGGGGAAATACACTGCAACACACCATCTATATTGTATTCTAGGAAGGAGGTCACACGAGCTCTCTGTACACATGGCAAGACATTGCAGAAGCCATTGGCTACAACATTGCAGCACAGACACTATACCATTCAATCCTCGGCTGCCTGAAATAACCTCAAACAGCACAACAAAAGCAGCACTTTGCATACGGCCAAACTGCTACAAAGATGCAAATTGCTGGATTACGAAGGGACTGATGGGTTCAGCTGCGAGCCGAGGCCTTTTGTCAATCGCCACCGCGGACGATCCACAACGACAGGTCCGCATATCGCAGCGGTGGCCCGAAAACATCAGCAAGCACTTTGCGTCACATCACGCGAACGTACCTTTTTCAACCTGCCGCTGCGGGTTCCGGCGAACACCACCGTGTGCCCGCGATAATCGTAGGCGGCCACTGACGTCATGCCGTCCTCCTTATCGATGAAAAGCGGGGTTCCTTCGATGGTGACGGTCCCTCCGAGTGGCTGGTTAAAGTCCTGGCCGCAGAAGTTGTCGTCGATCTGCAGGGGCTGAAAGACAAAAAAAAAAAAAAGGAAAACAATGAAAACTCAGATATATTTATATTTTGTTTTACAAACTTTTGAGCTGTTGCCTAGATACTGCGTGGCCTATGACCGCTCAGATTCCTGGCGGCATTACCCCCCCCCCCTTCATGGTGGACAAAGGCCAAGAGGGCACATGGATAAAAATACAGAATGTATAAAACAGCCCAGTCTGGCCCATGGCAACCAGATTCCATCACTGTCTAAATGGTGCTTTGATTTACAAAGCTTAGCTGAACTAAAAAGAGAAGCCGATTGGTTGCTATGGGCAACTATACCACTTTTGATAAATTCCCTCCTATGAGGTGTGTGTATGTGGTGTGTGGTGTGTGGTGTGTGGTGTGTAGGTGTGTGTGTGTGTGTTTTTTTAGTTTTGGATAGAATTGGGGAAGGTTAGAACCCCTGCCAGGTTTTTATTGCCATCTGTGTGTTCCTGCCGCAGGGGCAAGGGTCTGGGAGGGATGATTTCCTCTGGAGACGTTCTCCCTCGTTTCCTGTTGAGTGCACAGTACGGGAACCGAAAGGAAATCTCCTCACTGGAACTTGGAGAGCAATAAAGAAACACCTGGAAATGTTGTTGACATTTTAGCTTTAAGATGATTTTTTGTTTTTATCTCAGTAAATATTTATGGAAAGTTTATATAATAGAAAGTAGAAAAAGGAAAAACTCTCCAATGACGAAGATCGATATTCTATTTCCCGGTCGGCACTTCTTAGCGGCCCGTTACATCAGGAAAAAGGGGAGAATGGAGTAAGGGGAGAATAGATGAAAGGGAGAATGGAGGAAGGGGAAAAGGGGAGAATAGATGAAAGGGAGAATGGAGGAAGGGGAAAAGGGGAGAATGGAGGAATGGGGAGAATAGATGAAAGGGAGAATGGAGGAAGGGGAAAAGGGGAGAATGGAGGAATGGGGAGAATAGATGAAAGGGAGAATAGAGGAAGGGGAGAATGGATGAAGGGGGGAGGGAAAAGTGGGGGGTTAGAGAAATCAATCTCCCACATTTGGAATACATAATCGTTTATAATATTCCTACATCCCTATGTAATAATAGTATGTCATGAAAGACAATAATTCAGAAGAATGAAGGCGAAAATAGCATGTCTTGAATTCTTTCCAGGGATCCCAAATATTGAGTTCCAAAGATGGACGCTTACTCTCATTCTAGCTCCTCCATCATCCAAACATTTTATGTCATGAAGTAATAGATGGAACCATATATCATTTCCACTGCGAGATGCAATAGGACTGACCTTACGGAAAAGGTCTAAACAATGCTCCTCAGTAGCCCCAATTATCTGTAAAATAATAACCTGTACTTAGAAAAACAATATATCCCCGCTGAAAGGCGGCCGAGGAAAGGACGCAGCGAGGCGTTGAAGATGTGGGGTGTGTTACTCCGGGAGTGTCAGGAGGGAGCGTGAACACGGCAGGTGTCGAGGAGAAGAAACAAAAGGAAAACTATTTCAAGGCTCTCAGAAAAGATTCCCGGGGCCCCCGGCTGACTGCGAGGAGGTTAAGCGGACATTCCAGGGACACGAGGTCTCAGCGACGCAGGAAAACCAATTACTTTTCGGAATATTCAGGTAATCTACGAAAATAAAGAGCCGCATTCTCTGTCATGTCAGGGTGTGAGAAGGACACGAGACGCATATTTATGATCTCCGCGTACAGTTCCAACCGCTCAAACGGCATTTACAAATATCACATCGATCAGCGCCGTTTGGCTCTGTCCATTTAATTTAGAATGTAACAAATAATGAACGGAACAAGATATTTAAGTAAACTGATCGAGTCTTCCCCAAAGCCTTGTCCAAACCTAGCATACCGTACGCATAGATGTGGCACTATTTAGAGAACTTTTCAAATATCTAATGCAATAATTCTGACTAACCTAGATTTTGTTTTTTTTTCCTCTTATTTACTTGTATTCTCTCCCTGTGAGAGCTGGAGTATCAGGCTGAGCGTCAGGCTGAGTGGGGTCCGCTCCCTGAATAAGGATCACTGATGGTTGCTATGGGTTACTACCCTTGCTCATTTCCTGTGCTTCACAACAGAAAGGCCCACAAGGGTTAAATCTAGCCGCTCTTCACTGTCCCTTCGTTCCGCTGGCGCAGCCTTTCCATCTTTCCCCAGCTGCTGTGCCAGCGGGCTTGGCTAATATTTATCATGGCTGCCACAGCATAGAGCTGCCCGGCTCCTCGGCCCCGATA